ATCCTTACCCAAATTAGCCACGAATCCCTGATAAAAGGGTATCAAAAGGATATACTTGTGACTGAATTTGTTTTGCATCAAATACAGAAGAAAGGCTAAAATGGTTACAAAGCACAATCTGTTGCACTACACAAGTTTGAAATACAGCACCTAATATCTGTCAACATATCAGAATTGAGATAAACTGATAAGATTTCTTGTTTTATCAATGATGAGATAAATCACACACCTAGATAGGTTCTCCATCCAAAGCAAGTTACATGCTCAAAGCCAGCACTTGCCCTCCTAGCAGCTTCACTGGCAGCGTTTACGGGATCCCAATGTTATAGCCAAATGGTGTCTGCTCCTCCCCTGCCAGGTTTTGACAAAGAAATAATCTGGTTAAATACAAATCCCTGAAGGTAGATTGTGTGTGACTGATAACTAGTGACAAAAGGAAAGGTTACTTATTCACAATATGCATTTTAAAAGTTACAGTAAACCTTAAACTACCCTTGCATTAAATAGAAAGGTACTGGAAGAATAACTGGCTCAGCAATAGCGAGGAACAAAAGGCAAGAGGCAAAGTGAGAGATGATATTGAAGAACAGGCTGAAGGAGAAACAAGGAACTGAAAACATTAAATTGTGCATCTGCTTCCAGGAAAAAGCAGCAGTTCTTTATATGTATTTTTCCCCCCTGGTTTTTACCAGGTGGATCTCCAACCTACTTTATTTAAACCAGAGAAATCGCTCAGTGGATTTTGGGAGCTACAGGAGAACACGAAACTATTATTTATCTCTGAAAGTTCTGTAAAAACTTCCCTACAGAGTTATAACTACTTAATCTCTCAAGGTGTTGAGCAACCCTGGAACATATTTTCTTAGCTGAACTGCTACTGGCGGTTGGCACTGAAATGATGAAGAGGGATCGGTCCTATAGACAGACATCAGCCAAGCTGTACTGGAATTACTTACAGCCTGAAGAATCTCAGGCTCACAGCATTAATAGTGTGGATAAACCAAAGTAAACAGTGGGAGATTTTTGCAACATTTCCTGCGACATAGGTATGATTAACACCTCACCTACCGTATTGTGTTCAGCTTTTCTTATTTCCTTCTGTGATTTCTGACAGAACCTGCTTTTCCTTCAAGCTCAGATCTGCTTAAGAATGGAAAATTGTCTGCTACCAAAAAGAATCAATAGGACTTACAATTAAAATAAGTGCTCAATTGCAAATTCTGATCGGAATATGTTGTGTGCAATGCCCTTCCAGAAACTGTGATAAAGAAGAATAACTAGATTTTAGTTTCATTCTCAGAAAGAGAGCTACCGCATTTCTAAGAGGTTATATTCAATGCTACTGAAGAACAGCTCCGCTGACATTTGGATTAGCTGTATTGACAAGAATGTCAGTGAATATGATTGTTAATGGGGATGTTTCTCAATAATCTGTAGTTTCTCTACAAACGACAGTACTTACACTTCCATGTTAAAAAGAAAATTCCATTTGGTCTATTACAAAGACACATACACAAGTTTTTTCAAATCACTGATTACTCCCTCTAAGACGTCTTAAGTTCTCCCAACAGAGTAGGTGAAAGGCTACTATGAAGCAAGCAGACAATTTGCCTCCTTTAGTGTGGTAAGTTGTGATAAGACAGCAATCTCTTTAACAGGTACGATACCAAATAAACCACTTATCATAGTCTTTTTTGACCTTCAGGCACCAGAGTAAGAATTGCTTCCTCTATAGTTGCCAGAACAGCCGTGACATTTCATCGACAAATCCTTTTACGCTTTGTAGTTTGCTTTTCTCAATGACAGTGAGACTAACAATATTCCAGGGGCTTCGCCACTCTAGAGGTTTACATACCTCCTACACAGGCTGTCGACAAACTTCATTTTCAAATAAAGTGCAATTCCTTTCAGTTTAGAGTAGCTGCCCTACAGCTCTACAACATCCCCACAAAAAAAGTAAAATCAAGTTTTGCAGCAGATAAAACAGTTGCCAAATTTTAACTTTGAAGTGGACAAACTACCCTGCTGCCAGACAGTTTTTTCCTACTACTGCTGGGGGACAGAAATAGTTTGGAAGACTAGTCAAGTCACACTGGCTACACCCAAACTTCTACCCAGCACAGACATTGTATAAATGATGCTGTCACGGGATGCGCATTTGTTGCTGTAATGTTTCAATAATGAGTCACACAACAGCTTGGAAAACCCATAAAAAACTAGCAAAGACATCAGGAGCCCGATAAGGCAAGAATAAGCAAGAAAAGGCAGATCCCAACAATAGAAAAAATGATCACCAGCATAAGACATCTTAAAATTTACAAACAAGCTTCAATGTTTAGTTTTGTTAAATAAGTGAAATATTTAAATAAAGTTTTTAAGTTCATCTTATGCTTCCTGTGCACTAAAAATTCTCCCACACGCCAATTAGGAAAAACAGTTTCTGTAGAGGTTTTTCAGCTTTGAAAAAACAGTATTTCTGTCCTCAAAAGTTACAAAGGCATGCCTTCAGGTGTGAAGAAGTACATAATGTTTATCAAGTCAAAAGAAGATATCTGAATATTCTGAGAATCTGAACAACCAAGATACTGACAGTGAACATGCAAAAAGGTACAATATGGTACAAGCAGCAGCAAAAAGGAAACATGGGCCTGAATCATAAAGTTCTAGAGATTAATATTAGTAGTAAAGCCATTTCCTTTTCTCAGAGTGATCCCAAAGGAAACACTCTTCTTTTGAGTTTCTTGTTTCTCCCTGTGCTCAGAATGAGAAGAAAACATGCAAATTTAACAGGTACATCCCAGACAAAAGTAAAAATACAAGATAGAAACCGCAAGGATTCAAGTACACCACTAACAGGCCTTACTAAGCTTTAACAACTATGGGAGGACTGGAAATAACATGAATCTTCATAAGCTTTCTGTTGATCTTACTATGAAAGGATAAAGCACGGACCAGAAGACACTGTTACGTTTTCAGCCTTTAGACTATACAGTATACAGAAATGCTAAACACTTCTTTTGTTCTATGTATCTGCTATAAACACACTGCCCAGTCAACTTTTGTTTGACCTAAGAAAATGAATCCCCAAGCACTCATGCCAAACGGCTGGGAGTAGCTCTTTCACTATTACACCACACCCATATCAATCCCACACAGGCATGCTTCGCACACACTGGTTCTAGAGAAGACTGGCACGGAAGAATTTTAATTTAATTATCTGGCATGGCTTTGTCACTGATGTCCACTAGGGCAGACTAACTCTAAGTGATACACTTGAAATTTACTGTTCTCTAAAAGCACTCTTACTGCGTTCACTTTGGCTAAACCCACGTGAGCCTCTTCATTAAGCTAACACTGAAAAATGAAGCTTGAAAAGCAACAGTGCAGCTCAGCCAGTTTTGTTGAAGTGCAGAGTTAGGCAGGTATTGAATTAGTACAAAATTTATGAGGCTCTTTAAAAAAATCATTAAGGAATCTCAGAGTTGTGATGAGAGTAAGAGGAATTGAGGGCAGGAAAACACTGGTGCTGAAATGCTTTTTGCAGCACTGTTGAAGAGCTGGTTGAGAAAGGGAGAGCAAAGAGATGATCATAGGAGCAGAAACAAGGAGAAAACTACTATGTCTGTAAACCTAAGAACTACAGGTGAAGAAAAAGCATGAAATTAGGCTACATCAAAACCTATCCTGAGCATTACTGTTTGCAGAATGTACAGTGATCTTGGATTTTTGCTATATATATTAGAAAAGCAATAAAGAACTAACATGAAAATAGCTTTACAGGAAAAAAAACCACACACACAACCAGAAACTAACAGCTTTTCCATTTAAATTATTTTCTTCTTGGTACTTAAGACATCCTGGTCTGAAGCTTTCTTTACTGGTTGAGCCTTAAGTGGAGTTACAATTCTGTTTGTTTTCAAGTTACCATGAAAATTAATGCAAAGACCAACTTAGAAATGCAATTCTCTGTTGATTCCAGCAGGAAGACAAGACAAGCTGTAGGTCCACATATGGTAATTACCAAATATGGCCAAAAAACCCTAAACATCAAAGTGGGTCTAAATCTACCTGCTTCCCCATGCACAGAGTACACCTATAAGTAAAGGAGATTCTGCATTTATCCTATGGGCAAATAGTGACCGCTCAGTTTTTATCAGTGCTGGTCTAGTATGAACTTTGAAGGCAGCCTGCCTTAGTCACATGTTAAAGTAAGGTTGTCCAACAGCTAATTCTAATAGAAAAAAGTTTCTCTGGAACAGGCACAACAGAAAAGCTGCAGAGTATGTAAAATGCATCGACCCGTTTTCCACATCTCCTTGAAAGCTGTAGCATCACCCTTAGAGTAACAGCTCCCTTGAGAATAATCAGCAATACTGTTACCTAGCACCAAGTCAGAGCTTCCTGAAAAAATGTCTCAGCTATATTAAACAGCAACCAAGTTACAATGACAGCACCAAATTGAGAAGGAGCATCAAGCACCGGCACATCATGAGACACTGCAGTGCAATCCCACCAGCTTTAAACTAAAAACAAGAAAAAAAAGAAGGGGAGGGTGTCGGGGGAGAGGAAGCTTTTTTTTTTTTTCCCATGTCAAAGTTTTGGTGAAAATTTACTCGTTTCAGTTGCCTGCAAAACTAACTTTTGCATAGTGTCAGTTTGCCAAATTCAACCTTGACTACACAGGAGAAAGGTCAAGCACTGTCAAAAGCAATGCTGCTCCTAAACTGAAGATTCCACTGATTATCTATAATTATTCACTACTTCTAAAATTTGAATGCTTAAGACCCATTTCGCACGTGACTCCAAACCAGGGAGCGTAATCAGGCTTGAACAAATACTGAAATTGAAGTTTGACATTTGAAACCAGCTTCAATGTCACTTTGCTTCCACCTGACAAGGACACAGCACGCGCTAAAATCAGGAAGCGTCCGTTTCAACGAACCTTTACGCAGAAATGCAATATATACATATGGGGCTTGGTTAGGTTTTAAAGGCACACAGAAAGTGAAATGCACTACAAGGTGTTTCCCTGGCTCTCGGGGCCACTAGGCCTTGCGGGCACCTACAGGCGAAACGCCAAGGCTGGGCCCTGACGTCCGGCACCCAAACCACCCCATCCCAAAGGCTGAGCGAGGTGGGTGTCGTGCTGCAGCAAGGAGCACAAAAGCTTTCTTTTGAAAATTAAAAAAAAATTAAAAAAGTAAAAAAGAGAACTCGCGCTGACATCTGCAGCCGGCACCGGCTCTTTTGTCTGTGACCGACGACGGAGCCGCTTCGCCATGGGCGGCACAGGGAGGGGAGGTCACCACGCCGACGTCAAAGCCCCCTCGGCAGCCCCGAGCAGGGCCCCGCCAGCACTCACCGAGCACATCTGCCGACCGGTGCCGGGCCACGAAGCAGGCGTCATCCCCGTAGCACATGCCTTTCTTGAGGATGCCCTTGCGGAAATCTTTGCCAAAGCCACAGCTGGCTGTCACCAAGCTGTAGTCACGGGAGTCCGTCTGCGAGAGGCCGCCCAGGA